AATTATAATAAAAAATAAACTATAAAAAAAAAAAAGAGAAGAGGATAGAGAAAGATAGCAAGTGAACAATAGAGGGGATGTTAGTGAGAAACAGATATGGTTTATTATCTGTTGATGATGACGTGTATAGTATTCTCAACTGGACTGGTCTGGGAAGTATTTCATGATGGGTGATGTCTTTTAACAAGCAAAATGAGAAATAGTGATTGACTGTTTTAAAAAATTATAATAATAATAATTATTGGGAAATGCATGGAAAAGACATTGAATGATAAAGCGGGGAGATTGATGTCTCTGTATTGACTGACATGCATGGCATTCCCTTTTGAAAAAGCAATGGAAGTCAATGTAAAGTTATATGTAATCCAATATAATATAAAGAAGATTATGATGATAATATAAATTTAAAAAAAAATAAGAAAAGAGGGATGGGCAGATGGCCAGAAGTCTTTTATGGAGTGGCAGCCTTATCTTGTGATATCACAGTTTTGCCCTTTTAAGTCTTGGTGTTTTGTTTCACCCTGCATTAAAACATGTTTTTATCTCTTCACACTTTTCTATAGTCATAATGAAGTTAAATCAATGACCAGAGTTACATACTCTTCCTGTGCAAGCAAAGCCCATTATAGGCTTTTAAGCATGGCATGGTGTAAGTAAGTAATGTGGCTTTAAAAATTAACAGAGTAGGAACCAGCGGATGGCGTAACGGTTATGTGGCTGGACTCCCATGTAGTTGACCACGGTTCAAGTCTCAGACCCGGCGGCTTAAAACTTATGCTGGGGTAGGCAGCAGGTGGCATAGTGGTTGAAGCGTTGGACTCCCACATGGCCATCCATGGTTCAAATCCTGGACCTGGTGGCTTTCTTTTTCACTTTCTCTCCCTCTTTCTCTCCTTTTTCTCTCTGTCTCTCTCTGGTGAATGCATGTGTCCAATGGCAAATCTAGAAAATAAATTAATTAATTAAATTAAATAATAGTTTAAAAAGAAAACCTCACTCTGGGCACATGTGCATCTGTGCCCAAAATCCCATTAGGAGAATGGAGGAGACGGGATTGCAGCGTGGCCGTCCCCCTGCGAAGATGATTTCTCGCTTTCTGTGTCTCTGGTGAGCACATGTGCCCTATAGCAAAAAAAAAAAAAGAAGAAGAAAAAAAAAAACCTCTCAAGGGAGAAAAAAAAAAGAAATTAATAGACTAGCTTAGTTTGAAGGGATAAAGCAGATACTTATGGGACCAGCAGTTGGCATAATGGCTATGTCGCTGGACTCCCACATAGTTGACCACAGTTCTAGTCCTGGACCCAGTAGCTTAAACTTACGCTAGGCATGTGTGCATGCATGCCCAAGATCCTGAGAGGAGAACGGAGGAGAAGGGATTGTGGCGTGACCGTCCCCACTACGGGGTGATTTCTTGCTTTCTGTCTCTCTCTGTCTTTCTGGCGAGTGTACATGTCCTATAGCAAAAACCTCTCCAAAATAAAAAAAAAACAGATACTTATTTTTAGATAGACTAATGAACAATTCATATTAAAGCAGTGCTTTCCTCTAGTTTCCCAAACTAATGTTACTCTTGTTCCTCCAAACACACCATAGAGAAAAAAAGGTTCTAGGGTGATTGAATATGGGAAAGTACTATATACAACATCCTGAGTGTCCTGAGGTCTATTCTCATATGAGACTGAGAAGCCCTGGAATTAAAGAATTTATTTATTTATTTATTTATTTATTTTTTATTTATTTTTAAGTTTTTTACCCTAGGGTGAGTATGCTCCCTGGAGAGAGATAGTGAGAGGGAAAGTGAAAAATCACACCTGGGGGAATGACCATGCCACAGTACCTTCTCATTCATTCTCCTGGGATTTTTGCCATGCATGTGTGCGTGCTTGGCCTAAATTTTAAGCTGCAGGGTCCAGGACTTAAACTGTGGTCAGCCATGAGGGAGTCTCGCACCTTTAACTACCATCCCTCCTTCTGGTCCTCAAATCCTCCCAACTATTGAAAACAAAACTAATTAATATGCAAGGGACTAAATAAGAGAAGATTTGTATTTGGGGCATTACTTTAACTCTGTGCCTGCAGATCTTTTCTAATTATTTAGTAAACTCAGTTGTCTCACGGTTTGTACTCCTTCCTTAGAGTAGGATGGGAGAGTATTGCGTGTAAATTTAGCAAAAGATTAGTGAACTGTTTTAGAAAAATCAAAGGCACGTTAAAACTAGTCTTGAGAGACTAGCAGATAGATGCATAATGGTTATGTCTCTGCACTCCGTGTAGTTAACCACAGTTCGAGTCCTGGACCCAGTGGCTTAAAACTCATGCTAGGTGCGTGTGCCTATGTGCCCAAAATCCTGAGAGGAGAACGGAGGAGAATGGATGGCCATTGCGGGGTCATTTCTCACTTTCTGTCTCTCTATCTCTTCCATGAGCACATGCACCCTACAGCAAAAATCTCTGGGGAGAAAAAAGACTAGTTTTGGGTCCAGCCTTGTGATACTGTGCACTAGCTGATTGTGCTGCTTGGCAGATAGAGGCTACATGGAAAGCCCAGTTGGATTCCCAGACACTCAGGAGGCTGAGGCAAGAGGATTATGATGTAGTGAGGCCCTGCCTAAAAAAAGCAAAACAGAACAAAAGCTAGTTTTTAATGACTACATATTTATAATAAATAGAATATAGATTTTGTTTAAGTTTATTTCTTTAACGAGAGAAAAAAGAGACAAGTAGTCTCAACAGGGTCTCACACTATGATCCCTACCCCCACTCTTAGCCTTCCCAACCAGCCAAGATGATGTACATATGCCCATAGCATATACAGGTTGGCCAAAAACCGCATTTGCTATCTTCCATATGGATCCAGCACAGCTTGAGCAGTGCATTTACCACTGTGCCATCAAACTGGCCCTAGAATTGGTTTCTATCTCAAAGAAAATAACCCATTTCAGTGATTACTGCTTTGGTCAGGAATGGTTTGGTTGCAACCAGGAATTCAGCATACAGATAAGAATCCAAATCAAGGAAAATGTGCATAGAGACTTGTGAAGATGTTGTGTATATATGGGTTTGTTTTCATTCTATATTGTCACTAACGCAACTCAGTTTTCAGCTCTGCAAGTCCTAGTTAGGGATCAGTCCATTAGAGCTAGAAGGGGTCACATGTAAAGCTATCTGCAAATGAAGGATTTGTGAAGACAGGAAGGAAGCAATGGTCATTTCAGCAAAATTGTCCTTTAAAGGAGGTTTTTTGAATCACAACCTTATCACGTTGTAGCAGATAAAGTAATAATGGTTTGCTGGGTTGTTGCACTGTTTTTGACAAATGAACTGTGTCTGTGTGTGTATATGTATATATATATAAACTCTCAGTGCACAAGATGCTTAATCTACTTGGTGTTTTAAACATTGTCAGATCTTCCTAGGTTTGAGTTCCAGTTTGACCACTTGATTATTATAACTCAGAAGGCTTAAGTAAATATTTATACACTCCTTCAACACCAAACTGTACATGGCATGTAATAAGCACTTGATAAATATTTGGTGAATGAACAAGTTAACTTCTTTGCATCCTTTTGTCCTAGTGAATGTAATAATACTCCCTCAGTAGTATTTTATGGTTTAAATGAGAAAATGTCTGAGGCACTTGCCATAGAGCACAGGAAATAATAATACTAAGTGGTTATAGTAACCCTTCATTATCATACCTTCTCCAGTTGTGGCTTGCTGACTATACCACTTTGGAGTGATAGAGAGATAGACATTTACAGCTTGTTGAGGTGTGTATTGCATATGTGTGCATGTTTTTAAGTGGCAGCTTTCCCAAAGATTTTATTTCCTTTCGATCAGGGGTAGGCACAAGGATAAGAGAGCATAGTGAGTCTTCAAACTTGTCATTAGAACCAAACAAGTCAATTGAGGAAGTAGGGAAGGTGGCAGAGAAGATGAAGATAAGATTGAGCTGCCATGTTCAAAGTGTGTTGTTATTGTCATTTTTGTAGTTTGCTGTAGGGTCTGTGTGCCTGCCAGAGACAAATTGAGAAATCACTCTCCAGGAGGGCTGGCTATTTTGCAGTTCCTTCTCCTCCATTCTCCTTTTGGGATTTTGAGCATGCAGGCACATGTGTTTGGCATTATTTTCAAAACACCGGGTCTGTGGCTTAAACTGCAGTTAGCCATGTGGGATCCAGCTGCCTTAACTTGCAAGCTACCTGCTGGCCCCAAAGGTTTTTTTTTTTTTTTCTTTAAGACTTAATGCTTTTCCTTAGATAGGCTCTGATGTATATGGGACTCCTACCTAGAATAGATGTATCCTTCTTTTAATATATTTACTGAAAAAATAAATACTTGTTGAGAACTGTATGCCAGGCCCTGGCCAAGACATGGAGTTGTAACTCACTCCTGATAAACTCTCGAGCTTTAGACTCCTTTCAGGGACTAGAAAAACTGAAGATTTTCTGCCCAGACTTCACCCTCCTGACCCCAAGATCTAGTAGGGTTAGAGTAATCCTCAGTTCCCACAGAATCTGCTACATGGAGGAAGAAAAATGGAACTGCAGAGAGATTGCAGAATACCTCTTCCTGCATGCCTCTGAATGCTCAGATTTAACTCCAAAAATTAGGAAAAAACATATAATCCAGCAGATGATCAGAAACCAGTGCAGCGGCATAAAAAATATGAGAAGCCAAGAAAATATTTCTCGCCCAAGGGAAAAGAATAACTCCTCATCCTCCACAGACAATACAGTGGGACTCATGGAAATGTCAGATAAAGAATTAAGAATATTCATAGTGACAAAGCTAACAGAGATGCAAGAGGAGAGAAACAAGGAACTCCAGAAGATGCAGAAGAAAAGAGATAACGAGTTCCAGGAGGTGAGGAAGTTCTTACACAATCTGAAAGAGGAAATACACACCATGAAAAAGAATCCAATGGAAATGTTAGAGGTGAAGGCTGTAATACAGGAAATCGAAACCTCCCTTGAAAGTATTAAAAACAGATTAGATCATGCAGAAAGAAGGTCGAATCTTAGATGTAGAAGACAGAACCTCTGACCCAGGAAAATTCACCAAAAAGACTGAGAAAATAAAATGAGAATAATATACAAATAATGCTAGATATCATTAAATGCCCAATCATCCAGATAATCGGTATCCTAGAAGGTGAAGAAACTAACAGTAATCTATTCCATGAAATCTGAAAGAAAACTTTCTAAACCTAGAGAAGCATTCAAATATCCTGACCCAAGACAAATGGAAAGGACCCCACATAGAATCAACCACATCATAACCAGATTGACCAAAACCACAAACAGAGACAAGATACTAAAATTGGCAAGAGAGAGACATCAAGTTACTTTCAGAGGATATCCCATCAGGGCCAACATTGGACCTCTTATTGGAAACAATGCAGACAAGGAAAGAATGGGGAGATATATTCAAAATGTTAAGTGAGAAACAATTTCATCCAAGAATACTACACCCAGCAAGATTATCCTTCATATGGGAAGAAAAGATAAAAAATATTCTCAAACTAAACAAACTAAAGCCAGACACACAGAAATGAGAGTACAAAAAACACCAGTAGAGAGTTCAGCACCAGCAGGTGGCATGGTGGCATGGTGGCATGGTGGTTAAGCCTCTGGACACTTCCACATGGCTGACCCTGGTACAAGTCCCATACCTGGTGGCTTGTTTCCTCACTTTCTCTCTCTCTCTCTCTTTCAGTGTCTCTCTCAAATTAAAATAAATGAATGAATAAAGAGAATTTAAAAAAAAGAACCCAGTAGAATGGCCAACTTAATGGTAGGGACAAATTTGGAAAGATCAATAATAATGTTGAATGTTAACTTCCAGAATTTAAATGAAAAGATCAGACCACAGTAACACTGCAAATTCAAGAGAAGAGATATTAAATACATGAGACTGAACTGGTAAAATAGAATTTTATGACTTTTGACTAAAACATTACTGATTTTATTTTATGCTCTGTTTTCTAGATTTAAGGATTTTTGTCTCTCTTGAACTGTTAATAGGTTCATCTACCTACTGTTTGAACTGAATTGTAATCTTTTTCCTGACTTTTAAGTCTTAAGCAAACTTCTTTTGATTTTGGTCTATTAAAACTAAAACTGTTTTTCTTGAAATTTAAAAAATGCGTTAAAAAATACCTATTTAATGACTGCAGTAAGCTATATAACCCCAGCTAACACTACTTTATAGTATGTTTATTCTACTCACTGAGGTGACGCCTAAAGTCAGAAATGTGTTCATAAATATGTGTATATCAGCTATACTTGCTATTGGAAGTATTTAGATTAATTAAGCTGTTTTGTGGATCAATAAAATGGAAGGAAAAAAAGCATGGAATACAACTGTAGATACCAGAGACAGTGTGGGAGGAGGGAGAGAAATGGCAGAGGGTGAGAGGTAGGGAATCAAGGGATGGGGGGAGAAGCAAAATATATAAGAAATAAGAAATGGAAAATTATTTGTTGACATAATACGTATGGTAATGCCCTTGACTGAGCCAATATACAATGTATTCTGGATGGAAAATCTCATCTTGTATACTGTAATGATGTACCGTGAATGAATGTAAATTCAAAATAGAAAAAAAAAGAAATGGAAACAGACAACAAACTGTGAGTGAATAAAGCACCTCTTTTATATATTTTTAAAGAATGAAACTCAATTAT